ATATAGGGGCGCCTGGGTGGCTCAGTAGGTTAAGCATCTGACTTCAGCTCAGGTCACGATCTCGCGGTCCGTGACTTCGATCCCCGCGTTGGCCTCTGGGCTGATGGCTCAGAGCCTGGAGCCTGCTTCCAATTCTGTGTCTCCCTCTCTCTCTGCCCCTCCCCCGTGCATGCTGTCTCTCTCTGTCTCCAAAATAAATAAAACGTTAAAAAAAAATTTTAAAGAAGAATATAGAAAGAGAAGAAAAGGAGCCTCATCTGAAGACCTGAAAACATTTTATATTTGGAGGATGGATAAAGGAAACGTATGCCATGAAAGAGGGAGGAAAGTAATGGCTAGAGAAATAGGAAAGCAAGGAAAGAGGATGGCACAGAACCCAAGAGAGGAGGATGTTTCAAGACAGTAAATATTGAGTCCTGAAAAGCAAGTAAGAGAAAGATAGGGTCAAGGGTGGTCAATTGTTATTGTTTCTTGGGGTTTTCCTTTGTCTTTGAGGCAGAGGAGAGCAGATATGTTTGTGTATTGATGATAATCTAAGAAACTGACGATGAAGGGGAGGTGGGAGAGTTGAAGTTCCTGTGAAGGTGAGAGAGGAGGAAATCCAGAGCTGGTGGCACCATTTACATTGCCTTGGGAAGTCCTGCTTCAGAAGGGACTCCCCACCCCCACCCCATGAGTAGCACTCCCTGGAGTTATGTGCAGCAAGGTGGAATTCAGAGCATGTATACCAGTGAAGGAAGGATATGTGGTTAGGTTGGCTTTTTTTGAGAAGAGAAAGAAGGGAAGAAAAAATGGGTAGAGACATAGACACTGGAAGATTTGTACATACCAAAGGAGGAGAGTTACTTGTTCACTTCACTTTTTAAGATTCCCACCAACTGAAATAAGTCTGTAGGTTTTAAGGTCAGACAAATCCAGGTTCAGCCATTTACTAACTACAGTAGATGACTTGGGGAAAATTACTTAACTCCTATAAACCCCAGTGCCTTCATTAGTAAAATAGGACTTCTAAGACCTCTTATTGCAAAGGATTATGGCAAAGATTTTCTATGTCTCTATGTAAAATGGTTAGCACAGTGTCCTGGCATGTAGTAGGTGATCGACTGTGGTGGTAGCATTTATAATGAATGCACCATGAAAACCAGAAAATGCTACTCACATGTAAAGCAGTACTTTGTTTTTTTTATATTAAATATAATTTATTATCAAATTTATTTCCATACAACACCAGTGCTCATCCCAGCAGGTGTCCTCCTCAATGCCCATCACCCACTTTCCCCTCCCTCCCACCCCCCATCAACCCTCAGTTTGTTCTCAGTATTTTAAGAGTCTCTTATGGTTTGCCTCCCTCCCTGTAACTTCTTTTCCCCCTGCCCCTCTCCCATGGTCCTCTGTTAAGTTTCTCAGGATCCACATATGAGTGAAAACATATGGTATCTGTCTTTCTCTGCCTGACTTACTTCACTTAGCATAATACTCTCCAGTTCCATCCATGTTGCCACAAATGTCCATATTTCATTCTTTCTCATTGCCAAGTAGTATTCCATTGTATATATAAACCACATCTTCTTTATCCGTTCATCAGTTGATGGACATTTAGGCTCTTTCCATAATTTGGCTATTGTCAAAAGTGCTGCTATAAACATTGGGGTACAAGTGCCCCTATGCATCAGCACTCCTGTATCCCTTGAGTAAATTCCTAGGAGTGCTATTGCTGGGTCATAGGGTAGATCTATTTTTAATTTTTTGAGGAACATCAACCCTGTCTTCCAGAGAGGCTGCACCAGTTTGCATTCCCACCAACAGTGCAAGAAGGTTCCTGTTTCTCCACATCCTCTCCAGCATCTATAGTCTCCTGATTTGTTAATTTTAGCCACTCTGACCGGCATGAGGTAGTATCTCAGTGTGGTTTTGAGCATTACTTTGTTTTTCCTCCCTGCTTATCCATGAAGAAGTTT